ACGTGGCGTTCGCTGGTTGGAAGCTGACACGCAGCCTTAACCTCGAACGGGCATGCAAGTGCTCAAGACACGACGAAGACGCTGTTTTGGGGACCAGGGCAGAAAACCGCTGCCATCGCTAATTTTACCAAAAAAGAGAAGTTTGCCCTCCTCACTGATAGGCTGGCAATGGTTCGATGCCCTCTATTTCGAGCGTCGTATGACGCAGAGGAAGCGCTGGCGGATATAGAACACGATAAACGTCATCAAACCACGTGAAGTGTTGGCAATAGAATCACCACCGTACCCATTTTAACATGGCTACACCGCTCATCTGCTTTCTGTTCATTGGGTAAAAAGCCCCTCCCTAGTTTCTATCCCCAGGTAGAAACGTGCATCCGTTCTACGATGGCAACAGACCTGAGTGCAAGCGCTATCGGGGGCGTGAGCGCGGGCACTGGCGATGCAGCCGTGGGGGCGTCTGGTGGGCCCGAGAATGCGTACGAGAAGCTCTCGAGAGAGGTGCATCAGATGCAGATCACGGGCGCCATCCACACAGACTGGCTGGAGAACCCCAAAGGATTTCTACTTAAACCTGACTTTAAACGCAAAGCGCAGCACGTCGGAGCTGGCGGTAAGAAACTCAACAGCTCAAGACTCTTGAGGCTGCATCTACCGGGCAATTCATACAGAGTCAGGTGGTTCGTGCTGGACGGGATGATCTTACGGTATTTCAAGACGAGTACAGAGGAGCAGGAACTGGGCGCGATCCACTTGACGTCGGTCAATGCTGTGCTCCCATCCAGTGTGGCAGACGCCCCTGAACATGCACTAGATCTGGTACGTTTGAATGCTCTAGTTTATAGAAATGATGTATCCGTTTCTAAATCTGTTAACAATTATTGCTCGTAACCAATTCACAATTTTTTATTCATTTTCTCAGGTGTGTGCAGATCGAATTTATACAGTCGCAGGAAATGATCGAGAAGATATGGTGCGCTGGGCGACGGTACTGACACTTGTGCTGCGAGGAGAGTATAAGCCCAAGTTGATGTTGAGACCAGAGTCGTCCGTTATTCGAGGCAGCTCGGTGATTCCCAGACCCAGTGCCGTAGCCAGAAAAACGGCCATGACACAGGCGTCGAGGTTTACAGATGCCAATGGCATGCGCATGACAGGCACGTTGATGGGGGACGGCGACTCGAAGAGCCAGGGAGACGACGATGTCAAGGAGAAGATCATCACAGTCACATTCGACCAGCCTGGTCCACTGAATTTAATTCTGAGAGGCACAGTGGACGACGAGGTGATGGTGTGTGGGTTTCAGGACGGAGCTGGACCTGGTGGAGAGCTCGGACCTGCTGAAGCTTCGGGTGTCATTCGAGTGGGGGACCTGTTGATCTCTATCAACAACCACTACTTCACGAACATTGAGTTCCAGCAAGCTGTTGAATTGATCCGAGCTGCTGGACGGCCGCTTACGTTGAGGTTCTCGCGAATTGACTTCAACACTGCGCCGCCTACAGACACCACGCGCGTGGCAGAAGGATGGGTGCTGTCCAAGGAGCCATCAGCACATCGCTATCGTATTCGTATGTTGCAGCTGCAAGGTGACAAGTTGAAGCTGTACAAGCCCAGCATGCAGGGCGGAAGAGTAGACGAACCGTGTCTGGTCATCCGTATGGAGCAAGTGACGGACATCCGACCCACCAATGATACGCGCGAGGTCGTGACGGCGTTTACTCAGTGTCATCCGAAGCAGTGGGGTGTCACTCTTGAAGGCTCGCAGAGTATATTCACGTTTTACACTAAGAGCCGTCAAGATATGGTGCAGTGGGTGGATTTGCTCAAGAACTCGCCGTTATTTTCATCCAAGGCTTCGAGGTTATCCATTCCAGTGCATCCGGTGGCTGTAGTGGAGTTTGATCCTGTACTGGAGCCTAAGATAGTGCTTCAAGATGACGTTGGCAAGCTGGGCGACTTGCTGTCGACTTTTTCTTGCCACTACTTCCTTCTACTGGAAGATGGCAAGATGATGTACTATGTTACGGCAGACTCAGCTTCTACTCGCACTCGTCCGATCGGCACAATACGCTGCGACAACATCGTCAGCATCGTGCCGAGTCAGGTGACGGATGAGTCGATGCCAGGCGACGATTCTAACTCGGAAACTTCGTCTATTGGAGGGATCACGGAGGAAATGATGCCGTGGCGACTGGAGCTGGGGGTCCTGGTCCAGGGCTCAGCACAGAAATACCGTCGTCCGTTCATCATGTGCTTTGCTACTCAGGAGAAGATGATGAAGTGGGGGATTGCTATCGGCAAAGAGGCCAAGCGACTGACTGGCCAGGAGTACGATCTGTCGTCTATCAGTCGACGCGCGTCTCGTAGCAACAGCCAAACATACGCGCCTCGTCATTCCGAGACGCCCATGACGCGGCCGACAATATCCAGACTGATCTCGAATCCGTCCAAGTACGTCGACCCCAATGTGAACGAGTCATCCCGTCTGTATCGAAGTCTGAAGGATGTGACGCTGAAGTCAGCCACGCGTGGATGGTTCTTTGTCAAGAAGCCGCGCAGTGCGGGATTGAGTGCGTACCATCCAAGATTCCTCGTTCTCATTGACAACCAGTTAATGTTTTTCAAGTACGAGGTGCTGGAGGAAGAGAGTTTGCACTCGTATGCCAGCATGTTGGATCTCCGCAACATCAAGGATGTCAGGGAAGCCGAGTCGGGTTTCCAGGAGAACCTCGACTTCACGATTCAACTCACTACTGCTGACGACATCGTCTGGATGGTAAGAACACCCTGTATTCTTGCTGTAGATTGTTGGACTAGGCTGACAAAGTGGTCTCTTTGTTTGTACCAGCTGGTGGCGGAGAGTTATGCGCAGAAGGAAGCGTGGCTGTCGGCATTGATCTGGCTGTCGGACTACTACTACCGACCAGGTGACAACGACGACAGCGTCACGACTGCTATCAATGACGTAAAGCGGATTGCACTGAACACTGCAGGTATAATGACGTCTATCCCTGAGTCCGAAGGATCGAACAGCATAACGAGTCAGGACGTGAATCCGAAGGAAGCGGACCGTCTGGCAGCGGCGGGAATCGCCAAGGAGCGGCTATCAACCACTGGTCTTGGCGCTATGCTGACCGACGATTTCATGGGAATTGGCGGAGAAATCCAGATCGCAGGCAGAAGGGTGTTTGCCGCCATCTCCAGTGGCGTCTTCCGCTACTACGACTCCCAGAGCGATTACGAGAGCGAGTGGGGAGATGCCATCGACGCTATTTCGCTTAAAGAGATCGAGGAAGTGCACTCGGACGGCTTGGATTTGGGCAGCTTTGTGGTCAAAGTTAAAGGCGAGAAGGAAGTGCGATTGGTTGCAGAAAGCGCCAAGCTGGCCAAGCGCTGGATGCTGGTCATGTGTTGCTGTGGCGACTTGGTGCTGAAGAAGGCTCCACACGCCGACTACTGGGCTAGTACGAAGCCCAAGGAGGCTTGGATCTGGAAATTGGATCGCTTGTACCAGGTATTCCGTCGTCGATACTTCTCGCTACGCAACCACCAACTTATCTTCTACACTGAACAAGGAGGTCGCATGCTCGGGATGATCTCGTTACCGTGCATCTTCCACCTTCAGATGTCGAAAGTGTGGACACGCAGCAAGGACGAGGCAGATTTCTACCAATTGGAAGTGAGTTTCGCGGTCCCCACAGCAGCTGAAGAGAGCTCACGGACAGACCAGATCGGAGATTTCTACGCTTTCCTCTTGGCGTTCGACACGGAGGAACAGCTCAAGGAATGGGCGAAGGCTATCTACGACTGCTGTACGAACTCCATGTCGTTGAAGGGCAACGCAACGCTGTCGCCTCTGGGGGACATCCAGGTGCTTCCGAAGGAGCTGCTCAAGACCTCGACGTTTGATCACAGCGACGATGCATTCTTTAAGACTTCTGGACTGCCGGTTGGGCCCACGATGCCGTCAAAGCGGCCTGTTCCTGATGCTGCAGTGTCTGCTAGCGAGTTCAGCTCGAGCGGATGGCTCTACTACCGCACTTCAAAAGAAGAGCGTATCCGTCTGCGTTACTTTATGCAGTGGGGCTACGAATTGTCGATTTTCAAGCACGAGGTGCTGGCCGATGAGGCGGCCGCCATTCGCTACGGTGTGATCGACTGTCGTGCGCTTGTGGACGTGCGTTTCGCCTACATCAACTCACCAGAAAACGCCGTCGAGCTCATTCTTGGATCGGAAACCAGCGTCATCATCATCCCTCGCACTGACCAAGAAGCCGTCATGTGGCGGAATTCTCTGCTGGATGTGAAGCGCGCTTATGGACAGTTGGAGTCTGGCAAGAACAAGGAGGATACGTTCGGTACTGGCGTCTTCATCAGTCGTGGCAGCACGTTCTCCACGCACAAGGACAATGAAGAATTATTGCGTCTGCAGATCGAGTCGACCGTCATTTACTCGTCGAACCTTCAGGACTGGGACGGCCGCAACTGGATTCCCAAATATTTCGTGCTGACGAGCTCGCGTGTGCTCATGATGTCTCTGGCGCTGCATCTTTACGACGAGGAGCCCGATATCTTGGGCTCGTTTGCAGCCAAGGACATCGTGGAGGTTCGTGCCTGCAACGAGAAGGAAGAAGCTGAGACTGGCAACTGCAAATCTGCGTGTGTCATTACTCTTCGGCCGCAGTCCAGTGCCTCGGGTGGTGGGATTCAAACGGTTCCTGACCGCATGATCGTCAAATGCGACTCCATCGGTACGTTTATCAGGCTTGCAAGTTTGTATGAGGAAGAGTTTTAACCTTGTTGTGATGGCATCAGATCACTGTTTGGAGTGGATGCGTCTGCTGTGTAGCAGCAATGGCAAGTTAGAGCTCAAGAAGAACGCTGCTACTGGCTACTGGGGCAGTGTGAACCGTATAGCGTCGCTTTCTCGTCACCAGAGCTTCCTGGCCACGGCGCCGCTGTCTGCGGCCATCGCTGCCGCCAACTCGAGCTCTGGTGCAGCTGCACATGGAGGCGAACGCACGCGACGAATGACTCGCCAGGATGCGGCGCGAAAGTACGTCCAACGAATGCTTGTATGTCCCTTCGTTTCTTTCTAACAGTTTTTGTATCTACTTGTAGACGTACGTCGGAGCTTATCATGAACCGCAAGAGCATGATGGGGATGTGAGCAAGACGAGACGTCATGTAGTATCTGCAATTCATTTACGCGCTTCCCTCATGACTCTCTAACTTTGGTCCAGCAGGTGCACGCAGACCTTAATGACTCGTGTGTTCTACTGTGTCCCTTTAGAAATCAGCGCTCTCTGCTGACGGATCAACAGGTCCGTCGTGTCCGCCGCTCGGTAAGTAGAAGCTGGAGGCTCGAGATGCCTCTGTATGAGACTCCGATCGTGGGGAAACTCGAGGTACCGGGGCCGACCCCGTTCTACCCAAAGGAGACCTTCGACCGCCGTTGTCTTGTGATGTAAAAGTTGACGTCGGGTGGCGATGGTTAGCACCAATGACGATGGGCTTACAGTCAAGTCCAGCATCTGAGCTTCCCCACGACGTCCAGCTGTTGCCGCGGCGAGCTGCATGTTTGATCTCCTTTATGTCGGCAGCCGTGAATTGCAGTAGCGTCGAGAGAACTGGCATTAAACGTGACTGCTGGGAGGAGCCTGGACGGAAGGACATGTACTGCACCACGACATTCTTGAGGTACTCCATGTTTACTCCGTCGCGTCGCTGGTTCTGCAGCATCGCCGTCAGCTCCTCCGCATGCCGACGCTTGTCCTCCCGTCGCTCTTGGACCTCGCGCTGTGCTTCCTCAAGTTGCTGGGATAACGCCTGCATCTGAGCTGCCTGTTCTCGCTGCTCCACCTCTCTCTTCGCTTGTAACTGGGCGAACTCAAGGATCTTCCGATTATCAGCACCACCGGAGCGAACATCCTCCTCCAACTCATGCAAACGTGCACTCAAGCGCGCAATCTCCTTCTCTTTTTCCAGCACCGCTTGAAGAGCCAGCTTCGACTTGTGTTTGCTCTCCCCCTCGAGACGATCTAATTCGCGTTTAAAGGTGAGCTTCTCGCTCTCAACAGCAGCTTGCAGTCTCAGCTTCGCGTTTTCGCGCTCGAGTTGGAAACTCTCTTCTTGCTTCTGCATCTCGCGTTGAACGTTCTCCAGGTCCTGCTTAGCTTGAGTCTCGCTCTGTTTCATGCGTTGCACGTCAGTCTTTGCTGCTCGGACTTGTGCCTCCATCTCCTGTTGCGCGGCTTTACTATTCGCAGCGTCACGCAGAGCGCCTTCAATAAGCGCCACCTGCTCTGCTAGTTTCCCAGCCATACTCATGTTCTCCGTCTGCAATCTCGTGGCCAGAGCCATGCGATCCGATAAAGATTTCTTCGTCTCAGCCAGATCCACACTCAAGTTGTCCACTTGGAGCGTCTTGTCGCTCAGAGATGCCTCCAGCTCCTCTTCGTGCTTGCGTGCAGTGTCTAACTCACGTTCCAGCGTCTTGCAGCGAGCTTGCAGGTCGTCTTTCTCACGAGAAAGCTCTTCCTTCTCGGCCATCAGAACACGTCGCTCAGCGTGCACACGCTCCAGTTCACTCTCCTTCTCTTGACGCAGCATCTCGAAGTTCTCGTGGTGTTTCTCGCGCATTTCATCAAGCTGCTTCTTCAAGTCTGTCGCCTCCTTCTCGCTGTGGATGTATCGACGCTCGTTCTCTTCCGCTTTGGTGGCGTGGGCTTCGAGACCTTCAGCAGCCATCGCCAGATCTTCGCGCATACCACTCACTTGCTTCTGCAGTTCCATAAGTTCTGAGGTCATGGACTTCTGAGAGGCCGACATCTTGGCAACTTGCTTCGTCTTCTCTCGTAGCTCCGCTTCCAGTGTCTCTGTCTTGGTGCTCGCTGCGTCACTGTCGGTGATGAGAGTCTCGAGCTTGGATGTCCAGTACGCACGCTCTTCTTCCAGCTGCTTCTCCATTGAAGCCTTGGTCTCTCGTGCTTGATCCTGCTGCTCTTCAAGCTCGCGGTTGGCTTCAGTCAGTGCTGCGTTCTCCTTCTCTAATATGGTCTGCTTTTGCTCAAACTGAGCCACCTGGTCGGCCAGACGACTCGTGTCTTCTTTGAGCGCTTCCACCAGCGACTGTGTCGCCTCACGTTCGCCCTTCGTCTTGGATAGCTGGTCCTCAGCAGCACAAAGTTTCTTCTGCAGCGCCTGCACCTCATGTATGTGCTCGGCAGCTTCGAGTTTCACACGCTCCAGCTCTCGCATCAACGCAGCATCTGCCTCGTTGTCGTGTGAAGCCTCCTCCCTGGACTGTTGTACCTGGTCCTTCAGAGTCGTGAGTTCTTGTTGTAATGCTTCATTGTCGCTGTTCTTGGCATCTAGCAGGCCTTGCAAGTGGCCAATCTCGGCGCGCAGGGGACTCACTACGTCCTCAGCGACTTCCGTCCGGGATTCGGTAAACAAAGAGGCGGCAGCTTGTTTCAATGCTTCGATTTCTTCCAAAAGACGCGAATTCTCAGTCTTCGCAGCCTCCAGCTCTGACTTGTGTACCTCCAGTGCTTCTGCCTCCATCTCCGACACCTCCGATGGGGACGTGGCTTCCTGCTGCAACGTCTCGATTTGCTCCTGCAGACGCACATTCTCGGCCTTTGCCGCCTCCAATTCCGCTTGCTGAGTTTTCAATGCTACAGCCTCCACTCCACTTTCGACAGCTTCAGACGACGAAGATGCCTCTTGCGACGTTCGAAGCTGCTCGTGAAGACGTGCATTGGCAGCATTTGCCTCCGCTAGCTCCGCTCGCATCGCTTCTAACGCGGCCTCTATCTTCTCCTTCACCTCATCTTGAGAAGCAGCAGACGCAGCTTGCAATGCTTGGAGCTGTTCCTGAAGCTGTGCACTTTCAGCCTTTGCTGCTTCCAACTCACTCCGCTGCGCCTCAAGTGCACCCTCCATCTCCCCCTTCGCTTCACTGTCCACTTCCCTCTCCGACACAGCAGCTTCAGCTCGTTGCAGACGTTCGGCCAGCTCCTTCTTCTCCTGTTCCACCTTAGAGAGCGCCTCTGCTGCCTCCCTCTGCTCATTTTCTCTCTGTTTGCCACCTGCATCCAACTGCTCCGACATTTTCCTCATCTTCTTCTCCAGTTCTCCTTTCAACTCCATCAGTCTCTGCGTCTCCTCCAGCTCTTCCTCTCGGCTCGTTAGCTTCTCCTTCTTCATCTCCTCCAATTTACTCTCCAACGTCTTCTTTTCTTCTTCCAATAATCTCCTAGCTGCTTCGTACTGTTCATCTCTCTCCAGAAGCTTCTTCTCCAGCTCCTGAGTCTGTAGAGCGCCCTGTCTCAGCTGCTCTCTCATCCGCTCCACTTGCTGCATCGCCTCGTCCACCTGAGCGTCCTCCAGGGGGACACGCTTACTGTCCCCTCCCAATAGATCGATCTCCTCGTACTTCGCAGGCGTTTTGTCGGTCGCAACAGGTGACAGATCTAGTAGGTTGACGCTCTCCACAGGCGCTTGTGGCTTGCTTTCCTCTTTCTGTTTCAATTCCGATAAGATACGATACTTCTCCTTGAGTACTTCAACGTCAATAGATCCCCCGGGGGTACTATTCTCCTCTGTCTTGACACATGCAGCCACATCTAGCCCCAGATCATGCTCTAAAAAGCCCCGTAATGCCTGTACATCAGCATCACTCGTGAATGCAGCAGCTAGTTTGCTTTGGTTCTTCTGGTATTGAGCCTTCATGAGCTTGTTCTGTCGTGTGAGCTTCATACTGAGCGCCAACAGCTCCTCATACGTCATCCGATTGGTATTAGTGCCCCCTCCCTCGGCGATGGGGGGAGACGAAGAAGAGGAGGCGTCACCATTCTCTAGTGACGCATTGGCAGTAGCCGTGCGAAGGAAGCTCAACCCCTTGGACAGACCTCCGCGCCCGAGCTCGCGCATCTGCTCGAGCTTCTCCTTCTTCTTGAGCATCGTGGCGCGGAATGCGGGAGTTATAGAATTATGTGTGGATGGGGTGGTGGGTGTGATGAAATAAGTACGAAACGTTGGGATATGTACCTTTTTATTTTTGAGAGTAAAAAAATCGCTTTAAAATGAGTACATGCATTTTTTCAGATTGTAGATTCCTTTCGCCTCAATGAAAATCTTTGCCTTGGTAGGCAGCTCGATCGGACTGATGCTGCTTGAATTTGGCGCGGTAGGCAACCGCCGGTTGCTAGTAGCTATGCGCTGCGGCTGGTGAATGTGCCCTAACTGGTTTTATCGCGTGCATATTCACTTGATTTCCCGCCTGTTCACACAAATTAGTTTCAGAGGTGCCCCCCCCGTATTCGACACCGCTGTGTTCAATCAATTCGTTGCACCACGCATTCAGCGAGATCTTCACATGTACTTGTATGAAGCTTAGACATATAAATGATTAGACTCACGATCAAGCCATTTCTCTCGCACCGAGACAGCATTGTTGCCACAAAAACAACTGTAACGACGTCAAGCAACTAACAACAAGTCAGTGTGACAGCACTGATAATACCTGTTAATTCATTAAAGTATGGTGCTCGTATCAACACTTTTTATTAAATACCGGCTCACATACTTGGCTCCGTTTGCACTCCAAGGTTCCGCCACGGTAATAATGTCGAGCATGATAGCTGTTTTACTGGAAGTAAGTGTAGTACGATGCACAGTGCATACTTTTCTTATGAGCTTGATTTCACAGCTTCACAAAAGTTAGTCACTTTTCCACGTGGTTACGTGAATACACACTACAGTACTGCACCCCGTTTTCGCGGGGGTGGACCATATAGGATCTGCAAATAAATTTGATTTTAGCTGACAAACAATAGTTCTATTGGACGCAGGATCATCACATCCGGAAGTTTGTCAAAGGTCCAAGGGCGCGAAAACGGAGTGCAGTACTGTACATGTATTGATTCAGCTCTGTTGAAGCTGAAACGTAGCGGCGCATGGACGTGTGCATGCCCGCAGCAGAATTTGATGACCGGGCCGCCACAAATGTCTCTGCGGGAGGACCCACCTCTTCGCCTTATGAAACCTGTGCAGTTTTACTGTTAAATTGTATGCTTTGACTTCTATTGTACCCACCAACATCCGCCGAAGACAACTTCCGGCTCTGTGAACCAACTGCACTGTACAGTATACAGCGTAGGCAGCAATTTTCAAGATTAATTGCGTCTTATTAAAAGATTGGCATGTGTCTTCAACGTAAAGCCATCTGTTTCTTTTGCGTCGAGTGTACCCTCTTCGTCGACACCTAAACGGGAGAAAGATACTGGAGGTTTTGACCTCCCAGACTACAAAGTACATCTTAGTAAGTAATTTTTGGCTTACCGGAATTCAAATTGTCACCGCCAGCTCTCACTTAAGTAGCTGAAGAAAACTTCTTCGTCAAGTGAGCAAGCGAGTCGCGAACGCAAGTTGAAAGGCCACGTACCTCACTATTGCACATACAGTACCGTCGGAACTTTTCTCTCCAGGCGGCACCTTCACCTTGAGTACTCAGTGAGTGCGGTGACACCGCCTTAGTCCGACCGACGGCCGTGTTTGCTCACTCTTCAATTTGACTCCACGCCGGACACGTTTCCAAGCACTCGCTTCACCATCTTCAGTCTCTAGTACCTCCACTCTCTCGCCACGATGGCCATTTCCGACCAAGTCCGCAGTCAACTGTTCCAGTCGCCTCAGAGCTCCAGCACCGACAACAAAATGCAGGCGATCCGAATCCCCACGACGCGTGGCGGCGCCACTCACGGCGGCCTTGTGCCTCGCTCTCCCGGCTCTGGCCGCGGTCTCTGGACGCCAGAGGAGCATCTACGATTTCTCGAGGCGCTGGACAAGTTCCCATCGGGCCCATGGAAATGCATCGCCGAGTACGTAGGCAACAAGACTGCGAGGCAGGCCATGACTCACGGTCAGAAATATCGTCAGAAAATCGCTCGCCGCCGTCGCGGACTCAAGAAGATCGTGCGAGATCTTCAGTTCGCAGCCGTCGAAGCGCAAGAAGACGAGCATGAATCAGGAGACGAATACATCGATGCGCGGCTTAGCGTCGAGTCCAACCCCATGGCGCTGTCTGATCAGGACTTTGCTACTTTTGTTGCCAGTCTGGACCTTGCGGAGGAACTGCAACTCGACGCCTTAAATGCATCACCGCTGGTCGTGTCCAATACTGCGACGCTCGACCAAGTAATACCCAGTTTCTCATTGGAAGTAGATGTCGCAGTGTCCCCAACGTCCGAGACTATCGACTGCAACCTCCCTCTGACGACGACGCAGCAAGATGTGCACCACTGGGTCGTCATGGATCGCGCGGACGCATCGTCTGAGGAATTCTCAGCCGCGTTGGCCGAGGCCTTCCAGTCTGGCTGCGAGGAAGCCGAGGCGTACGCGTTTGCGAAAGCTTTGCCACTTCCAGAGCAACTGCTGGACGAATATGTCCAGGAGCAGATAAACATTGAACCGGTAATCACAATGGACCCGACGCTCGACGGCCTGGATGGCTTCGAGTTTGACACGTTTGAGCTGCGGTAGCGGAAGGCGAAGCTACCTTGATGACGTACTCGTACACGTACTTTATTATTTGAACTTTATCACGACGTAAGCTTAGCTCGTACAGCATCGACAAGCGATAAACCCCAACAACAAAAATTGCACGCTCGCTTTTAGGACACGAAAAAAAACAAGAAGAGAGATGGTCTTCTATACTGTCTTCTTAAAGAGGTCGTCCTTTTCATTAAAGTGTTGTCGTCTCCTTTTTTTAGGTGAATAAAAACAAAATGCACTTCAAGCTGGAATGCCACGTACGAATGCGTCATGAAGCCATGATGACGCTGGAAAACGGGTACTAAACGTTGAGACGCTGGGGATGAGCATTTTGTCGATTGGGTACATTATTCTTTAAGAGATTCTTTGCAGGCAAGCAGCGAGAATCTCGGGACAATAGTCTGGTGATCCACGTCGGTCCGATAATGATCGAGATAAAGAGATGTCATCTTACGCCAGTGTTACATTTTCGATCGAATGCATCGCTTCTGTTGGGTCATATGTACCAACAAAAGTATCATGGCCTCCAGAGTTGCAGCAATGAGCGCACGAGAAAGTTCGAGGTCGGTCGGCTGTGCAAGCTCCTGGCCTCGAGATGTCTCTAATACATGTAGCGCTGTCCAAATAGAAAAGCGAACTACTCTTTGGATGGCATTTTTTCTGCTCTGAGAAAATAATCGGCGGCACCCCAATTTATTTAATAATATTTAATATAAATTGGTGTACCGACGATTTATTTAAATAAATTATTTATTCTAAATAGACTCATCTAAAATCATACCCTCTGATAATTTGTTTGACTCAAAGGTGACAGTATCCCCAATTAGAAAGCAAAACTGCAGCATTAATAACCTATTTTGGTGATCGTACATTTCGAAGATCTGTTTTCTGTGTGGGTGGTCCTTTAAATTCCGTTGTTGGTGGTACCCTTAATAAGACACAGATACACTCCAGCCCACAATGTGGAGAAGCCGTGTAAAGAGCTACTGAGTACTACAGTATTGTAGTTAGTCCTCGATTGCGGCGATCGCTGGTTCAATGTTTGCGTTAGTGGCGCTGTCGTATGCTTCATCTCATTTAGCGGGTGTAAGAAGTCAAGACCCCTCTCACTTTTTTTACACATTATTGGAGCATGTGTGCTCTATAGGCATCCGTTTGGTGCGAAGCTTGGCTTGTTCAAAAGCCCGATGTCGGAGGTGTTTAACGTGCATCGTAATAATATTATTGCTAGAGCAGGATTTATCAAAAAAAAATAAGTGGAGAAAACGGAAGACACCCCCTACCCGATAAGTGACGTGAACCTCATCCAAAAACAAACATTAAGTGATCTGACTTCAACTTCTTCCACTACTACTGGGTGTGGTAACCCTTGGTTTGCTTGACGGCATCGAGACGCTTGGATCGAGACGCTTGGGCATCGAGCTTTTGGCTCTCTTCACGACGTCATCGTGAATCTGATACCAGCTCTTGGGCAACTTCTGCTTTAAATCTTCGAGGACGTCGCAGGAGTCTTGTTTAGCTCCCACTTCAAGATAGCTCCGATATTCTCGATCGGATTCATGTATGGGCTCCGAGCAGGGTGCGTGAGGGCCATCAGATTCAGGCCAATCAGCACCATTATCGTCTTCGTGGCGGTGTGCGCAGGTACGTTATCTTGTACAAACAGGGTTTGGTTTGGTAAGCCGTTCCGATCGTTAGTTATTAAAATCTCACGATAATATTCACCATTCACAGACGTTTCGCAAACGTGGAGTGGACTGACTCCGTTACCGCAAATGGAGCTCCATACCATTACAGGCTTGCGACTCTTAAATGTAGGCCTCACAGTTTGGAGCATACGCTTCGTGCGTTCTATGTCACACAGAAACCCGGCCTGTGGTGCCGTGCATCTCGACCATGGCCTCGTCAGTGAACTAGTCTTCCTCCCAATCGACCTCGGTCATCCTCTCTCACTTTTTCGCGTAGGCTAAGCGCTGTTTATGGTGCTTAGCGGACAGGAAAGTGAAGATCAGTCTCACGGATCCTTTCGCGGACTGTACTACGTGAAATAGACTTACCGATATCTGTCCCGACCTGGGCTGTCAGGCTGAAGGCACAAATGTCAGTCTGGAGGCACTGATGAAGCGATTTCCCTCAACTCGCGAACGATGCGACGGTCCTGACGTACGTTTGTCATTCTAGGTCGACCAGACCTCGGAGGTACGAGGACGGGACCACGTTTCTTATAGTATCTGATCTGCATATAAATATCTAGAGAGCTGCAAATATACTTAAGTATATTCCGTCTAGTTTTGCCGTTTGGGGCGGTCAATGTAGTCACTCCAAACTCAAATTATACTCCATATGGAATCGTACATAACATGGGAATACCACAAATTTTATGCCGTCAAGCAGAACTCCGTTGCGGTTCAATCGGCCGGTTTGAAAATTTAGACTAGAACTTACAATAACATGTATAGTATAAATGCTGCACGGCGCTTAGTTGACTACGCGAGAATGTTCTACTAGTAACTAATTTCATCTCAATAGTCAGCGAGTCAATGTGGAATAAATAAGGAAAACACACATACATTTCGTAACTGCCACTCAGAATCGTGACTGCAGCACTCAGACATAAACAGCGCCCAATGCTGACAGCTGCGCTACCACCCGACGACGACGCTCGTACATTGTGTACACATCATGTTAGTGTGAAACCTTTCAAAACCAAAATCACGGCTTCTCAGGCCCACGCGACGGCTGGTGCGCCACTGTCCTTCTCACGGTGATCGTGCGGCCTCCAGGACACCCCATCACCTTGCGTTTTGGACGATAGTTACCTCAGGTCTGTGCCTCGGTGCTCCACGCTGGCCGACGCGCCATCTCTCTCTCTGTTGACGGCGTGTTGACGAATCTAGACCCGAAACTGCGGCCGGCAGGCTGTCCTAGACGGATAAACCGTAGAATGATGGATGTAATGGGGTTACACGCAAGTGGTTACATGCAGTCACTTGGTTACGAAGGAGGTTTTCCACGTTGGTGTGAGATACACCAATAATTACAATTGGCAGACTATTGGTCTGCATGCATTAAGGGCATTCATTGGTTGAAAGGCTATTTCTTCAACCAATTAGAATTGTTAAATTCTGTCAGGCAAATATCTTTCATTTAGTATATTAGATTAGGAGACAAAACAAATAAACAGCTTTTAATTTTACCGGAAATTGGCTTTGCTTTCCTATTTAAGTAAATCTATACTTTCGGACGAAAGTATAGGTAATCTAAGTGAAACGCATCTTACGCTTCATCATGCAAGTGCGCTAACGTGTAAGCCGAAGTAGTGGGCTTGGATTAGGCCCATTATAATGGAAAAAACGTGCGGCCTCAGCACAACCGCGTTGGAGGGTGGTCATATGAGCCCGAGGTGATTGAGGCAGCTGATATTTGCTGTGTTACGCAGGTCAGTGACCATTATTCTCATAAAAAGAAAGGGTGCCATAGTTATACCTGTCTGGTCGGGCCGCTGAGCTGCGCCATAGTTTCTTCGTAGTGCACGATGCTGCGTAGTGCAGCAACGGCGGTAGTGCTAGAATGCATTGCCGTCGCTTGTTGACAGCATATTCGGTAAGCTTTGCAATACTACTATATGTTTACTCGAATACACTAAGCGTGTGGAATATACTAACGTTTGTTATCACTCTTAACGTGCAGCGCGTACTAGTTAATCTCCAACACATTCCCATTTGCTGCGAGGTGCCCTGGACCTTGGCGGCGTCGCTTCTTGTTTGCACCGCGGTAAACGGGTCGCTTTCGACCAAAGCGATCGATGTTACCGCGAAGATTCAAAGCAAACATAACATGGATGCTGGCTGAAAACTTCAGGAAAGCCTGTACGAGCATAATAGATGGCGGACGCTGGCACGCCACACCATCTCTAACATTTTGTGGACTTCCATTCTGGCAGTATGCAGCCCAAGCTGTTCGGAGGCTGGGAGGTCCTCGTGCTTCCGACGCACATCATCGTCGAAGGGCCGACTTGCTGGCACGGATCGGACTCGAACGAGATCTGGATTAAGATGTTTTTGGGATACTTCGCCCCGCATCAAGGCCACGCTGAGTATGTTGTGTGCACATTCACTGAGGAGCCTTTTCCGCTCCATTTCACGTGCACAGCACTGGAGCCGTGCGTCAGCTACGGTTACTGTAGCGAAAGGCACCACCAGGACACTTTCGAGCCGACCACACTCGAGCAAACGATCAAGTAGTAAACCCATTTTCAGCTTGTGGTGGGCAGTGACATTCCGCTTGATTGCAACATTCTACTTCTAAACGGGGTTGTTTGTGGTGACAAACCCCGAGAGTGTGTGGAACATTTGCCACCGCCAGGAATTCCTCGTCAACTAAGTCTTTCAAAAGTCGGAGGTGAACGACGCCAGCTCGGGCCTTGCCGCCCAGTCCAGCAACAAACTACTCACCTTCTCTCATAGTCGCTTGGATTCGCCGTGAAGTGGAGATCATGCACGCCATGATGAATCGTAGCAAATAAATTTGCATCCAGTCCTCTAACCTTCTCGTACACCTTCTTTGCAACATGGAAAAGCACATTAAGTGCACGATATTGCAGTCAACTCAAAATACCTCGTCAACCGCATTTCGCTGAGCTTTGTAGGCGTCTGACCTCACGTAGCCCACTGCTTGCGGCTTGCCCATCAATTGCATGTACACACTTCGTATCGCAGAGAATGCATCAGTGAACTGAGACTGCTGTTGATGTGAGATCATAACTATGGCAACTACGTGAAAAACACGCATTTTTTTATATTGCGTCACAAGCACAGGGTACGCAACTTGGCACAACTTGAAGGTTGTGTCGAGATGGAAACCAAACGAGGTCGGGTCTCGGTCAGCCCTCTGCAGTAGCTTCTTTGAGGTGACGCCGATAATGAAAGGTTTTTCGTCGCTGCCGTTCCCGATAGCTGGACGACCAGCACCATCGTTCTGGCTGGCAAAACCGAGCGCATTACTCTCTTGTTCTCCTCCTGTAAAAGCGAATTCAAGGATTTTGGTCGTTAGTGCCAACAGAACGTCGCTGTTGCTCAGGTGGTTGGCCGCGTAGTTGTGAATGAAGCGTTGCACATTTGAAAGGGAAGGGAGAGATGTATCGTCCAGGTTGAAGTGGCGTAAAAAGCCGGTGTGGCTCTTAGACAGCTTTAGGCCTTGCGTCGTCCATTCGCGGGCCACCTCTTTCATGGTCGCGGTAAGCCGCGGTTGCTGAGGTAACGAGGCTGGCGCGACATGAACCCCTGTTTCTTCCACTCTGGCGAGTTTGAGGTGCTGGTAGATCAGACGGGTATTTTCTACATGGATAAGGAGCGTACAGGATAGGGCGTCAAAAAGGAACGGGTGTCAATTTATAACCTGATACAAATAATATTATGTAATTATAGAGGACTCTTGTTGAAGCACTGATTTTTGGCAGACTAAACACGGTACAGTGTACCGGAGGTACCTGTGGTGGGCGGAAAATTTGAATCCGTCGCGTTCATTCAAAAAGATGCAGCGAGAACTACACCGCCGTGTACGCCTTACCAAGCAGCAGCAACTCGAGCTGTGCAGGATGCACAGCCTTGAGCCTACGTGGAGCCTTGCAATACTTGGACGATGGGCAGACAAGCAGTTCGCTTTGGAGAAGGCTCCAGCAAAATCATCCGTCAAGCGAATTGTTGAATCCGAGGCGGCTCTCAAGAGTATTCCTGTTGACTTCATCGGCCTCAAGAAAGCGCCAACGGCGTCAATGCTTGCGCTGGACTCTTGAATTGTCGAAATGGTGCTGTATGCGCAGCAGCGGCATGTTCCCATATCCAGCCGCTTGCTCATGCTTATCGGTAGGCTTTACGCCGACGCGCTTCATATCCCGCCGACCGAACGTCCTCGATTTACGCGCGATGGGTAACTGAAGCATTTCATGCGGCGATACGGACTCCGCCATCGCCGAGACCACGGTGAAATCGGGTCCGTAGACCTTCCTGCTGCGCGCAAGGCCGCGCTGGACATGCGCAAAACGATCGCGAAGTATCACCCTGACGATGTGTACAACATGGACGAAGCTGCATTTTTTTTCAAGGCGACGCCAGGCGCTAGCATATGCCTAAAAGCAGCTCCATCGCGGAAAAAGAGAAAGGATCGCATGACAATTGTGGTGGCTACTAACAGCTCGGGTACGGACAAGCTCCCGCTTCTCTTTCTTGGGAAAGCCCAGCGGCCTCGGTGGTTACCCAAGAAGCCTGCAGATGCGGAATACCGAGGGACCAGCAAAGGGTGGATGACGGTGCCTGTCTTTCAAGACTGGCTGAAAGAGCTGGACCGACGGATGGGGCACGCCGGAAGGACGATTCTTCTTCTACTTGACAATGCACCCGTTCATATTGCTCCAGAGAATGACCCAGACAACGTTGAGCTTCTGTTCCTGCCACCTAACACGACAACAGCCATTCAACCGATGAATCAGGGCGTTATTGCGTGGGTGAAGCGGCGCGTGCTAAACGATTGTGGGGAGGAAGCAGTGTGGAAACTGTGCTGTGAAGAAGATTGAAACATCAGACGCTGTCATGAGGTGCAATGATGCCTGGAATGCCTTAGACGCCGACACGATCAAGGCGTGCTGGAGGCACGCAGGTTTGTACGTAGATAGAACCCAGATTGGTGACATTATTAGCTAAAATAAGTACATAATCACATATTTTACATTTTATGCCCTCCCATCCGAAAATACCGCCAATAATCAGTATAAATCAGGCGTTCCTTATTGACGCCCCATTCTGTATAACACTACGTGCGCACGCCTACAGTCGCAGACGAGGAGCCGAACTCACATTGCGTGCGGCGTAGCATGGTTACAAACGCCGCACGAAACCAAGTGAGTCTTGGCCAACTTGTAGGCCTTGAGAGACTCAAGCAACAGCTCGGCATCACTGGATGACGTGACAGGAGCAATCACTCTCCAGGCAATTATTGCAGGCATCGTAGCGAGTGGGGCGTGGGGAGGCGACGACACGTGGCGGTGAGGTGGATCAAATTTTCGAATGGCTCTCCAGCAACAACGGCGGCAGCTGCACATTTTAATTTGTAGATACCGACTTCTCCATGTTGTGCCGGACGATTTTTAAGACGGACAATCGATTTCTACCAATAAAACTGTTTTATTATTGGCCTTTCTTGTCTCCATGTTAAGCCGGACAGTGCAGAGACGTGCCTCTTCCACCGTCTCTTCGCAGTCTGAGATTCAATGGAAGGCGCTCATGCTGAAGAAACTGAGGCAGACGAACTCACCCAGCGGGCGAAGCCTGTAGGTCGCCCACGCCTTAACGAGAATGGCGGACGTAAACCGCTTAAACGAAAGGTGGGATCATACACTAACCAACTAAAACTCGATGCAGCGACCCACCTCGAAAAGCACAACGATGTCAAATGTGGATATCCGTATGTAGATTCTCGTCAAATGGCTACTGCTGTTGAGGACGACAACTTTGCTAATGACGTGATCGCCGAGCTCCACAACTTGCATATTGTAGACGAAAGCTACGGTGACATCGATTCTGACGCGGATTTTGATAGACCAGGGTTGGAATCTGAAACAAGCACAGCAAATCAATAGACTCATTTTTTGTTCTGAAGTTCAAATTTTTTCTTATGGATCCAATCGGTGTAGATAGGGTGTCCGGCACAACATGGAGAAGTCGGTAACGGCATTTATAGCTGTATCTGATTTGCTTACGGGATGAGGATTGGGTTTGCGGTGGGGATGGTATAGTACGATATGCGGTAGCGAGAACTGTTTAATGGGTGGCCAAGACAAGTGGTGGGTGGTAAGCAAATGATTTGGTACAGTATGGACATTTATGTTATTTCTTGAAAATAAATGTCCATACTGTACACCTAGGTGTACAAGAGATAACATAAATGTCCATACTGCACCAAATCATTTGTTTACCACACCAGGGATTGACAGTACATTGTACCAGCGCTAACGGTGCACTACTTTCTACTAGAAAATATCACTCAATGTACTTAAGTAGGTAGTAATTAGAGGTTATGAGCAAATTACTACTACTAAGGTAACCAGTAATTCAGATTTGAACGTGAGCTCCTGACGTGCTACTGTCGAGTTACTGTCTGCAGCTGAAAAAATCCAGACGATACCTGGACGTCTTGCTCTATAGGTCAACGTTCGCTCTCTGTTTCTACTGCTGTAAGCGTCTTGTGTTGAGCTTTGGCTATCGTTTGATATATGGCACTAGCCGCAACCGAATGCTGAGGGATGCAAGAGGTGATCGTCACACGGCCACGGCGGTACTTCCGCCTTCACGCCGGGCGACGCCGGCATCTGCACCTTCACGCCGGGCCACAATGGCATCTCCGCCTTCACGTCGAAAGAGATTAATAGAGCTAAGAACTGCGAATCCGCAGGTCCACCAGCCCGCAAACCAATAGATGACTCCTGCCATGGATGACAGGAGTCATCTAGAGGGGATTTAGCCTTAAAGCTGGTGCCGAAGAGACTCAATCTGCATTTTTTCAGAAACATCAAACACCGCTACGCCTTCGAAATCGCCGATGAAGTGTGCCAGCCCTGACTGTACCTGCCGTGAGCTGTCGGTGACGGACGCCTGCGTTGTGTGCAGACGTGGTGCTCACCACATTTGGAGCAATGATCTGTATGATTTGACCAACCTTTTGGAACGATTCTGCACTGCCAGTTGCGTTTACAAAAGCTAACCAAGGACGACTTCACGACACTCCTGTTGGCTCGTCAGAATGGTATCGTTTGCTGGAGGGTTGAAGCGATTTGTGAGCACATCAATATCCTTCGCTGGTTCCGTGAGTCTGGCCAAGTCCTTACCCGTCCGTCGCAGCCCTTGCACGTATCTGGCTCGGGAGGTGTCCTTCCAATGCTCTGCAGGAACGAGTGTTGTCGACTGGCGGGTTTGTTATCAGCAGCCTACGAATTCGGACGGACAACAAGCGCCCAGAGATCCAGGGCTTCTTAAACACGATCGCAAGGAGATTCGACGCATGCAGGATAAGATCGATAGCGCTGGTAGCTGAAGTGTCCACCGAAGAAATTAATGCAAAGTATTGAAGAGCTACTATAATACTACTACTACAGTAATCGGGGTTGTCCTGCTAGAAACTACTGCTAATACAGCAAATTGAAGGACTCTACTGTGAGGCTACTCTAGTGTTTTGTGAGAAAACATAGTTACTGTCAATCCCTGGCCACCACTTGTGTAATAAGGATGTCGTCGTCTGTGTGCTTTTAAAACACTGCTTGTATCCCGTACTTCAGCGACCCCTATCATACAAAACTACGAGAATCATGACAAGAAAGAAAGCTAAGCACAAACCGTTGCAACAAGCTTCAAGAATCCAACGAAATTATTCTCATGAAGTTTTATCCGAGTTTGGAGCTGCTTTTGGGCTCATCGACTGAACCACGGTTCTGATAATTACTCAGAACCTCTAAGAAGCAGGAATGAGAATTTTTGGGTTCGGATTTTCAAATGCGAAAGGACGTTTCAAATAGCAACTGGTCCAATAGTTGCTCACAAAAGAGAACCTGTCAATGATTCTTGCTGAAAAGTTGCGGTTCTTGTGTGAGCCCAAGGGTTGAAGTTTCAAATTATGGGCTCAGTAAAAACTGCGACAAGACACGTGAGCCTCATATATCGGTAATACTGGCTAAAACTGGAACCAAGAGTAAAGGCGGTATTGGAACCTCATACTTGTATATCGGTAGTACTGGTCCAAGCCGAATCCGTCCGAAACCAAGATTAAAGGCGGTAATTGGCTCCTTCCTAGCCGGTAAGTTCTTTCAAGGCGTGGTATGTTGTATTTGTACTGTTACAGTACAGTCACACCTCCATAAATGACGCCCGATTGGCTCGGGGAAAAAATGTCCTTTCATTTATAGAATTGGTCACATAGAGAAATGGCTACATGTAGCCATCTTGCTGAAAGTAACTATCGAGTGTCCGCTGTCGCCTACGCTTCATCACTTGCGTTCGCACTACCTCTGTCAAAGATTGCAGCATGCTCTGCTGGTCTTTAGTGTCCCCCTCGCACTGAAACAGAAATGTTGAAAGCTCCACGCAATAAGCAAGGGCTGCCGATGCAGGTACAGGTGGGTCATCTTCTTGGTTGCCACTATCATCTTCACCAAGTGATCTGTTGCTGCAGTCAACGTCTATAGGCTCATGGAGTTTGGCATCTAAATCGATTTCTAAATAGCAGTCAACGTCCTCATAAACGGCAATTCCAGTTAGCATACTCACAATGTCGTCGATGATCGCCTTTTCAGCCTTTGTGTAGTCTTCTGCCTGCCGAATCTCCCCAATCAACTCCGCGTTCACGATTCTTGACTTAATCCAGCCGTTGCGTGTACAATCAGCTTCTACGTCACTCCAGCTATCTATGCTGAAGTGGATTGCCTCAAGTATGCTCAACTTTCATTTGATGCCACCCTCCATTGCGTCTAAACACCAGCGGACAAATCGACGCCGATACCGAGCCTTAAATGATCGAATTATTCCTAAGTAGAAAAAATATGAGTGTTAGTCCTTGGTACAACAACAACTAGTTCACCGTACTGTAACTACACAAATTCATATAGCTCACCCTGATCCAAAGGCTGGACAGACGACGTTAGATTAGGAGGAAGTTGGCGCACTTCGATGTTTGAATATGACCGGGTAATCTTGTGATTCGAGGCATTGTCAAATCATCAGCAAGACCTTGCGATTTTGAACAGCCCACTTTAAGTTGAAACTTTGTACCCACTCGGAGAATATTCGGGCTGTCATCCATGCTTTTTTGCTATTGTAGTATTGAACAGCCTTGCCTTTTATCGCACGAGCACTCCCGCCAATAAAACTGTGACGGGGTCACACAGCACCTTGCGCTAGAGGAAGTTATCTTCCGAGAGTATACAAACTCTCAGTGAACGGCAGTTCACAGGTCCCCTCTTTATATAAAAGAGAGCGAAGTGACCTAAATAAGGTAGAATGTAAACTGAGTATATTTATAGGTAAAAAAAGCTTGGGTTTAATACAAACTATAATTCATCTATAGAAATGCAATGTCGTTAACCAATGGTTGGCTTTGAACGACCTTGGTACTTTGTACCAAATATCCCGAAGTATGACGTGTCATACTCCTAAAATGAGAAGTGTCACACTTAACGTAACCAGGGTACACTTAGGGCTACGTACCTTGTTACAAAAACAACGTGCTGTGCCAATCACGACCGGGTCTAACTTGTGCGTACCCGTTGCATTACAACAGAATGCTATTGTGATACGAGCTTTATCGCGTTTCTTTCCTTTTCTGCTCATAGTTACCAATCTGCTGAGTGTGGCGGTGACATGGTGCGAGCGGGGATTATAAAAGGAAGATTGACGGGATTCAGCTGGAATTTAAAAGTGAGAAGGATTCTATGGCTGGTGGACGGTCACCTGTCCAGATAGAGAGTTTTACCTCCGGAATTGACTGTCATTTATCGAATAAAGAGGGTTTTAGTCAATTAGAGGGGCTAGTTTATTGAACCTCGTTTGCTTTGAGATACTTTCGGTACATTCAAGTTAAGAGCTAGTGATCAGTTATAGAGGTTCAAATAAGGAGGTGTGACTGTAGTAACTTTATCATACCCATGCGTCGCGGTCTTCGGTACGCTTACGTACAGCGACCACTTCACGCGCGGACGGGAGCATCGCAACATCTCCATGCCGTGCGCCATCCAGACCGGTATGTGAGCTATAAAACTTACCTGCGTGTCGAGCGCCAGTGCATTGCAGTCTGCCAGTGTCCGGTGCCCCTATCTACGAGCCACCGTCCACTGCCAGTGTCTGCAAAGACACATCCCAAGGACACTCATGCGCCTGGCAGTGCAGCTTGCGGCTGCACTACAGCCGGCTACTCTGAGTACACATGCGTGCAATGGCGAAGGACTATACCAAGGACTGTATGCACAAGGACATCGTTGGCTGTGCGCTGCCAAGATGGTGTACTCAAACGAGAGTGCATTTATCTAGAGTTTAGTATTGACTTATTTGCTATTTGTATACTAATCTACTTTTGCGGTACAGCGGTGTTCTGGCGGAGGCTGCTCCACACTTTGCGTTTTGACGCCTGCCGCTCACCAGAGAGCAGCAGAGAAGAGCAGCCTCGCCAGACACCGCAGTCCTGTCGCGGCCTTTTGCCCGGCACTTACATGTTTACGTTACTTCCTGATTAGTTTCCTAAAGTTGACATTTAAGTGTATTTACATTTAAATGGCTCCTACTCTTAGAAGCGATCGACACATGGAGAACAATCCCCCCGTGACGAACCCTACGTCACCACTGGTTATGAGCCGAATCAGGGCGCAGTCTGCGACTGACGTGGCTGCTGGCGTTCCAGACACAAGTTCTGGAATTTCGACCAATCAAGATCAAGCTTCGACCCCATTGGCAGGCAATTCAAGCTTGAACAATGACGCAACACTGTCGCACAGTGATGCAGAACGACTAATTCGTTCATTGACTGGAATCCCGGGTGGCCGCCCGTTATTCCAAATGTTACTCGAAAGTATGCATAAACTTTCGTCGACGAACACGGAAGAATCCGTGCCAGTTGACAATCCTCCCCAGTCGCCGCTAAACCAACAAAACGGCGACCGAGACCCCGACGATCCGTGGCGCCCTCTAGACAACATGAACCCTACTGGCCGCTACAACGACGGCGAGCTGGCTGAGTACACCAAGGTCCTCATCAACTCGCCTCCGATCCAGCTGCCCAAGCTCCATCTGAAGGGCGACTACAAAGCCTGGAAGAGCGAGGTGCCGTTGCACTTCGAGCCGAAGATGCTGGGAGACATCACCTATGACCCTGAGCGCTACGATGCAGTAGAAGACATGCGTCGTGACAAATATCGCGTGTGGTACAAGTCGCGCAAGAACAAGGCGTTCTCAGCACTTGCGTTGTCGCTGTCTGTTGACCTACGTACGACGTTCAAGATCGACGACATCCACGACAACATGGACGCCGCCGCTATGCTCTACGATGCGATTACGCAGCACTTTGAGGATGGAGATGGCATTAATCCTGATTACCTACTGCAAGAGCTAGTGACGCGCCGGCTCAAGCCAAGCGAGTCGGTATCGCAGTATGCTGACGACATTGCGAAGAAGGTGACGCTTCTACATCAAGCTAATGGTGAGTTTGCTGAGTGGCAACATGCAAGCCTACTACTGTCGAACAGCGTGGAAGCGTTTAAAGATCTCGCCCGTGAACACGGCGATTGGCTTAGCAACCATGATCGTAAGACACTTACACTTGCTGAAGCTTTACAACGACTACGCGCTGCTGAACACCAGCGTGACCAGCTGCGTGCACAGACCAGACAACCGGTCGTGCATTCAATGCAAGTTGCTCATGTCGGAACGGACCAAGGACAAGGTCAAGCCCGAGGACGCAAGCGCAACAAGCAACAGCGCAAGCGATCCAAAGGCGTTGCAGATAATAAGCAGCGCACAAACTGCGCGAACTGTCAAGGAGAGGGACATTGGTATGCCGAGTGTACGGCTCTCACTGGCCAGCAACTGAAGCCAGAGCTCACGAGAAAGCTGCAAGAGAGACAACCAAGGGCTCCCGTGTCGCTGGTGAACTCCGTACGCCGTGTGGATGCGGTAGCGTTGGAAGAAGATGGCCAAGGACTGTTTGCTGGCCTATCACTATGCGATGCGAATGCGATTGACCTCACGGATGGTGCTGCCCTATCGCCTACGGCTACGCAATCACCTGCATGGTCACTAACGTCTCCTGCGGAAAGTGAAGAAGGAGGAGAGCGTCGTGTTGCTGAAGGGGTGCGGGCAAGTACGCAACGCACTCAATCGTCGGTTGCGCAAGCAACGCAGCGACTGCAGCTGCAAGTTGGAGTTCCTGTTCAACACATACAAGTTGGAGGACAAGGACTACAACAGCGACAATCAACCTCACTGCCTACACTGCAAGCACCAGCTGTAGCTGTGCAAACTGCCATACAATCTGGGACGGTGTGACGACATCTCCATCACCACCTTCGGGCGCAGCAGCACCATCACTCCTCGAAGCGGATACAGTGTCTCGCAAGACATTCGGCTGAGAGCCAAGAGGTCCTTGACCCTCACACAGTGAGCTAGGTGTCACTTCACCTGCATCTCCTGGGCCACGCCCATGATGCCTCGACTCGCAGTCGACCGCGACCCTCGGGTCACGCAGCGGTAGGTCATCGACCAGATTCATACCACTCAGTGGATTACGCGCCACTCCGCGCTCGTCCTCACCAGGACCCAGCAGTTGGTCATTGACCTGACCTGCACCGCTCCGCGGATAACGTGCCGCACCACGTACGCCCTCAGGGCAAACAGCAACCTCGTTGCTAACAATTTCGGACATACCAATGTCCATCACTACAACCGCCGCGGTCTCATGCTCGCGCCAAAAGCGCTTCTGCTTCCTAGCAGAGGTGGGTTCATGACTCACCAAAGCTCCACTTGGAGCAGGGTGCGACGCACCCAGCGTTTTCGACTTCCAGTCGATCCATGGCTCATGGCGTTCCAGCCATGTCTTGCCAAGGATGAGGTAATATCTCGCATCCAGGTCTAAGACCAAGCAGCGTTCCACGCTATCGAAGTTCTCAAACCTCACGCCATGATCAACAGAGACCTTCGACACGATTACCAGTGTCCCGGTCGCGAGACGGGCAGATATCGTATCTCTCGTTGGCACTTCCAGTGCATCAGCATACAGCCGACCCCCTTCCAGGGTGGAGCGACGGGCGTAGTTGCCCGAGGCCCCTGAGTCATTCAAGACTCTCCATGGCTTTGCAAAGCTGTTCACGTTCGCTTGAACGACCACCAAGCCCGGCTTGCACACACTCTGCGCGTAG